TACATGTTTAATGTTATTATTAATATTATAAATATTACTCTTAAGTTAGACGTTGTAGTCAAACTCAAGACTCTTGGATATAACTTTGCAAAAAAAATTAACACTATTAAATTTTAATTTTTTTTAATATTTTTATGTAAAATAAATTGACCCACAATATCACACGAGTATGTAACTAGTATTAACTAAGTGTTGTAGAATTATAAAAAAGTGTTGTCATTAAAGTCTTTATAGGCTTTTATTGGTTTGACTTTCCAATGAGCCCAATACTCTAATGTCAAATACTAGATACTATTATAAATTAGACCATTAAATAGGTGTTGTGAGAGTAGTGATAGAAATTATTTTTTAGAATATTTTTTATTTAAAAATATATATAAATAATATATTTATTTAAAAAATTATTTTTAATATCAAAATAATTCAAAAATATCTAAAAAATTAAAAAACACGATTGCACCAGGCTTCCAAGCATTCCTTAAATATTATGTGCATGGTTGCAATTGGAAATAATATAAGACTAATTATAATGAATATTAACCTTTATTGTGAGTTTTTTTCTCTTCATCCCATGGTGTCATATAAACCACACATGCACCCCCAACTCTTCCATATGAGAAGAAGCCATAGCTACTTTATATTATAGAGTATTAAGTGTGTTTATTTATTATGTTATAAGTATTTATTTCATCCATATGCATCTTGACTAATTACTTTATAGTTTTGCCAATTAAGAATGAGATAGTATAATTGCGACTAATTAAAGGATTCTTTTAATAATTTTTATTTATTATTGTTTAGATGCTAAAGACCTAGTGGTGAAGAAGATTAAGAGACTATTTAAAATTGCATTTAATAAAATTTTGATATTAAAAAAAATAGTTTTTATATATTTTTAAATTATTTAGATGTTTTAATATCAAAAATTATTTTTAAAAATAAAAAATATTATTTTAATATATTTATAAAAAACATTTTTAAAAAAAATAATTAGCATACCATACTTCCAAAGATTACCTAAATGTCATATAATTGTGAAAAAGTATTGTCACCAAAGCTTTTGTAGGCCTTTATTGGTTGGACTTTTCCATGAACCCAATACTCTGATATCAGATGCTAGAAATATATTTGTTCGTGTGATAGTTATTACTATTTAAACAATTTTTCATGTTCTAATATATATTAATAATATTTTTTTTATTTTTTAAAAAATTATTTTTAATATTAATACATCAAAATGATCTAAAATATATAAATTATATTAAATTTTAACAAAAAAAATTAATTTTTTTAAAAAATACAAGTTGAGATACGGTTCCTAAATACTATTGTAAATTAGACTATTAAATGGGTGTTTGGGAGCTATAAAAATTATTTTTTAAAATATTTTTAATTTTAAAATATATTAAGATAATATATTTTTTTAAAAAATTATTTTTAATATTAAAAAAATCTAAAAATATTCAAAAAATTAAAAAACGTGATTACACCGTGCTTTCAAACATTTTTTATATCTTATTTGCATGGTTACAGTTGGAAATAATATAAGACTACTTATAATGAATATTAACCTTTGTTACGAGTTGTTTTTTTTCATCATCTCATGATGTCATATAAACCACACATGCACCCCCAACTCTTCTATATGAGAAGAATCCATGGCTACTTTATATTATATATTATAGAGTATTAAGTTTGTATATTTTATTATGTTATAAGTATTTATTTCATCATATGCAGCTTGACTAATTATTTTATAGTTGTGCCAATTAAGAATGAGATAGTATAATTGCGACTTAATGAGTAATGTTACGTTTTTTTTTAAAAAAAAAGAATGTTATTTGTTTCTTAATTATATGAACTATATATCAAGAGTGCTATTATTTATCATGCAGTGAAAATGTATCTGTTACTTTTTAATTAATTAATTGTATCATGATTGTGATAATTACTAATTAGTAAGTACAATTTTGAAGAAAAACAAAGACCTTGTTAATAATTTAAAAAAAAATCATTAATTATTTTATTAAAAAAACCCATTCTTAATTAATAATTAAAGGTTATTAACCACTTAATTATCATTAATGCATCATCTTAAATCATATTTTATAATTTCCTAATTTTGTAAGTGAAAAAAAAATCCTTTTTGGGATGAATTAATTAATTAGATCCTATTTTTCCTCCTTAATTATCTCATCTTCTTCTCTACTTTCTTTTTCATCTGTATGTGCACCATTTTTCCTCCTCTTAATCGACTCTCTCTCACAAACTCCTGATCTCCCCCTCCAACGATGTCAGAAGATAGCTCCTCTTCTGAAGAAACCAATAGCCCTACCACATCCATATCACAAGACACTTTCACCACTGAAACCACCTCCATCACAGCCTTCAATGTCCTCCCCGAGACCTCTCCCTCCTCCTCTAGTACTCATTTAGCCATTCAATCCCTTTATTCCATTCTAACCACAATGCCGACTCCTCTCCCTTCGTCTCAAGATCAAGACCCTGCTTCTCCCTCCTCCACGACCCTGATATCTCCTCTCAAGTCTCATCCCTCCTCCGTCTCCCCGACTCCGGTGCAGGTGACAACAGTCTCTGCCGTTGGTTCTATGACACCTTCCAATCCTCAGAGCCCCAACTCCAGCTTGTCGTCTTACGTTTCCTTCCTATCATTGCTGGCCTTTATCTATCCCGCGTTGCCCTAAAAAAAACACTTGGCTGGTTTTGAGGCAGTTTTGTTAGCCCTTCATGCGCATGAAACCACCTCACGCGCAGGCCATGCTATGAATGTTAACGTGCCTGATTTATCATATTCAAGTATATATCATGAAACAAAAGAGCCTGCAAAGGATAATAAGGCTGCAGAATTAAACCTAGCTGTGATATCTCCAAGTTTGGAGCCTCATGTTACGGTGAGATCAACAAAAAGGGCAAGAATTGTTGGGGTTGCATTAGAGTTATATTATAGTAAGATCTCTCTGATGCCTGTGGGGTCTAAGATTGATTTTTTTTAATTTTTAAAGATTTGGTCTAGTCAAGATGATGATACGAGTGAAGACTGTCAGACTCAGGATGATCAAGAAAGTGTTGGCAAAGAGAGTGATACTAAGGAAGGGAGGATTCCTTTGCCATAGGAGATCTTGCAACCTGTTTTGAGGATATTAGGACATTGCCTCTTGGGTCCTGAAAAAGACAGAATTGAAGGGGGAAGCTTGTGCAGCATGTAGAAGTTTGTATTCAAGGTCTTTGCATGATATCAATCCTCAGGCAATTTTAGCTACTAGGGGCCTTCTTAGGCTTAGTGAGAAGACCTTGGATCCAAAGAATAGTGTTGATCATACTGAGATACCAATGAATAATGTTATCGCGCTCTAAGATTGAGTTATTGATCTTTTTTTCTTTTTATCCTGCTGTTATTTCTGTTCTTCAATTGTGATTTCCCTCCGTTGCAGCTGCTCCTGGACTCTATGCAGGCTGGTTCTGAATCTTCTGATCATCTGGTGTGTCTCGTCAGATACTGCAGCTGCGCTTCATCCCTGTTTCTGATCATATTTACTCTGGGCTCTGCTGGATCTAACTCATCTCTACTTAGATTGATTTCTCCATAGTCATTTTAGCTTTACTGAACTTTCCCTGTTGTATACGCTAGGTTCCAGTCTTTCTTCATTCTTAATCTCCAGTCCATTGAAAAATTAGTCTTTCAACATCTTGCTTCAAACTTGTTTTGCTCTAGAGAGTATTTGTCTTACATTGAATACTTGAACCTGGATATCTATGGATACTCATCGGACACTTCGATTATACTTGAACATCTGATTAGTTAAGGGCAATCCTCCAAGTAATTCCCAGATTCTCAATGGTAGTCAATCTTCTCAATTTTGTTCCTGAATTATTATATATTTCTCAATTGGATATCTTTTGTTTACAATCTTCCTTTTTCTGACCGAAGATGTCGTGTTTTTCTTTTTATTGCATAATTTATGTAATTTAGAGATAAAATCTTACCGTGCATAGACTTGGGGGGCACTCTATTGAGAAACAAATGATACTTTGTGAGCACAATTGAAAAACTAATAATCATGGGGTCCTGTTAAGAATTTATAGATAGTTGGGGGACTAATATAGGTCCCATATGTTAATTTTCTGTACCAAGACCTGTCTCCAAAGCATAGCCCAGCCCAACCATCGGGCTCAAGACCCGATTCCTAACAAATAGCCCAAGTTCTCGATGCTCGTGTCCTGTTTGAGGGGCCCACGTTATTTTTTTTACTTCACTTTTGTTTTATTTTTTAAAAATCTTTTCCTTCTTTTGATTGTTTGTCCAAAGCAGATTGACATGTGAGTGCAAGTGATCACATGAAAGTGTTTGAACTAATGAAAATAAAAGACTATAGGTTATCGGTTATGAGTCAACTCCGTTTTATTATGTCTTTTTTTTTCAACTTCAAACCCAATCCAAATTAAGATTCACGAGTTTTCTCTAAATCAATCTATTAAATTATATTATAATTTTTTTATTAATATAAATAACTAAATAAATTTATATTTATCACAACTAATCCTATGAATACTAAATAAATTTATATTTATCACAACTAATTCTACAAATATTAAAATTAACAATCGTATAAGTTTTTAATAGTTTTAAAATTTATAAAACTCAAATTAATAATCTTTAAAAATTAAATCTAGAATTTAACCAATTGAAATATATTTTTATATATATTTATATTATAGGTCAGTGGTTAAAAGTGGATTGAAAAACTTTTTTTAATGAAATAAATTCAATAAATCCCACACTTTATTTGGCTGCTAGACATACAAGATCTCATGGTTACAGTATTTAATAAAATGGCGAGACTTAAATGAACAGCTACAAGGGAGGAAAAAACTCAGAACAATGTTGAAAGAATTGAAAATGCTAAGCCACCAAAGACGGCAAAAGCTGAGCCTGCAATGCTTGAAGCTGCATCATTTTCTCCTGCTGATGGGCTTGCCGCTAATCCTCCCGGAGACTCAGCAGCTGTAATTTTAAAATTCATTAATTTCAACTATTATTACACTAATAATATTCAGTAAGTCACATCAAAATCATCGAAAAATAAGAAATTGTATTCGAGAGTATATCAATTTAAAATATATTTAGAAGTTATTTTTTTAAAATATTTTTTATGTTAAAATATATTAAAATAATTTTTTTATTTTTAAAAAATTATTTTAAAGATCAATGCAACTTATTTTTTAAAAATTATTTTAAAGATCAATGCATCAAAATAATATAAAATATATAAAAAATTATTTTTTTTATAAAACTCGATAAATGCCTAAATATAAATAAGATTCAGAATATTTATCCACGTTAAGCATCATATTACCTTGCAACTTGGCTAAGAAAATCATACAAAATCATAGCTGAAAAAAAAAAAAAAAAAAACAGGAGAGAGAGAGAGGGAGAGGCAGTACCTGGGACTAGGGGTGGTAAGCCTGTTGATGGACCGCTTGCAGGAGCAGGTACTGGGTATCCCACAACTATACAACAGTTGATTTATATGTTATTGGTTAATTCTTTTTATTTAAAAAAAAAGATTCGACTGAGTAAATTGTATTATTAAAAACTGAATTAGATTAAACAAGTTTAACTTAATTTTAATCTTTTTAAATCAATCCACGGGATAGATATAATATAGATACACGGTATATTCATAAATACATTTAAAAACAAGAAGAAGATCTACCACGTGATTGGTTGAGAGTAACAAAGAATCTAGGTGCGGGTCATAAATGGCAGAAACTGGCTGCTCGCTTTCCCGTGATCATGCCGCACGACATTAATGTAGGGTATTGCTTGGCACTAGCGGCAGTAAAGATATTCTTTTTTATTTTTTAAATTTATTTTTAATATGAGTATACTAAAATAATTTTTTAAAAAACTTATCTTTATAGAATGCAGTGTCACGGGAAAACAGACACGGATTAAGATTTTATTTATTTTTATATTTTTAAAGTATTTTAAAAAAGTTTAATTTTTTTAATTTAATATTTTTATATTTTTACATCATTTTAATATATTAATATTAAAATATGTTTTTTAAATATTTTTAAATAAAAAATATTTAAAAAAATAATCATAATTATAAATAGCTAATGTGTTTTGATATTGGATTCAAGATCGATTTTCATGTTATTAGTAAAATAAAAGGGAAGTATTTTTATTATTATTTAAACTCTCCATACAGTTTCATGAACGCAAGAAAACAATGTAAATCATTAGATATTAATTAGGAAATAATTTGTTTTTGTTAAATAATTGAAGCTGGATTTGATTTATTTCATCTAATAAATAAAATACTAGCCCTGTGAAGAAAAAGAAATATAGAGCAAAAGGAATGGCAGGTAGATGAAGACGGTCCCCGTAATAAATGTTGAAGGCGAATTTACAAGAGCACTGGTAAAGTTTGTTGATAGCATTAATTAAAGAATAATGCCAGCAAAGTTGTCATGGATTTATGAACAAATAATGGTAAAAACAAAAAAAGGAAATAATTTGAAATTTTTAAGAAAAAAAAAGCATGTCATTCGATTAAAAGGAAAGGAGAAAAAAAGGATTTGACTAAGCTATAATGCGTTTGTTAAGGTATTTAACACTTAATTTACTTAAATTTTCAATTTCAATAATTATATCATTGTATTCAAATCCAACTATTAAGGTATTATATATATATATATATATATAGAATGCTTAAAACATTGGTGTGATGTCAACTCCTTTTCTTTTTTCTTTTTCATGTATGGAAAACTGACCCTTTTCCATTAATCTTATGGTAATTAAAGGAAAAAAAGAAAGAAATTAAGGAGTTCTCTTAGATTATGCAGTTAATTATTAATTAAAGGCAAAAAACAAGAAATTAAGGAGTTCTCTTAGATTAAGCAGTTAATTATATGATTTAATTACCTGAGCACAAGGAGGCTGAAGGAACATTAGCAATCTTGCAAACTGCAGGAAGCTTAACAGCTCTGCCGTAATCAATTGAGAGTCCATATTGCTTAGCAACATCACCACTAAGCAACTGACACAAACATAAAATATTGCTCTCTATCAACCCAGCAATCTCAGGACAGCAATTCTTGTCAGGAACGGTCAAGTTACTTCCTGTTGTCACATAGTCCAAACAATCAGACGCATTCAGCACTGGTGTTATACAATCATTACCAGGGGCTGGTCCAGATGCTGCAGGACCAAGACCTGAAACAGGTGCCGGTGCTTCCACGGGAACCGGGGTGGCCGGACCAAGACCTGAAACAGGTGGAGGTGCTTCCACGGGAGCCGGGGTGGCCGAACCAAGACCTGAAACAGGTGCAGGTGCTTCCGCCGGGGCCGGGGCTGCTGCCATATTTGCTGGCACTGTTGAAATGAGGGCTAGGGTCAGAATGACGGTGGTGATGCCTGGTTTCGACATTTTTCTTCCTTCCCTTTTCTTATGTGGACACAAGCGAGTATTATGCTGTTAATTTTGTGAAGGAAAGCAGGTTTAGAAGGTTATATATGGAGATCAGATAGCAACACTACTTGCCAGCGGAAATCAATAAATACACAACTACCACCAAAGTTCTAAGAATTGTTTTGTCAACAGATGCCTTCCCTTCCACTTTCTCACCGTCTATGGTGTGAAAGTTAAGGCTTTTAAACTTCTGAAAGCCCTCAAGGATTGAGACACGAGATTAACAGAGGTTGATAGCTGAGGTTTGAATCTCTGACTTTTTATTGAGGCGATATATCTTATGCAATTAGCCTTGTTACCATGGAATATTGAGTCTTAACGTAAAATATATTGGAGGGGCATAATTCAATAGGTAAGGTTTTAGATTTGTTTTTTTAAAATTAATAGTTTAAGTTTTACAAACTTCATGATTATTGAAAATTTACATAGTTGTTAATTTTAAAACTTATAAATTTAGTCGAAATGCTTGTAAGTTGATCCGAATACCCATATTAATAAAATAAATTATTAAACTCTATTTTGTGTTGAAATTTAAAAAAAATTCATTTAAGATTGACTTGATTGTTTTTAGCTGCTTAAATTGCTATATGATCATACTAATTCTAACTTGATTTAACTTAGTGTTTTTTTTTTAATCTTCAAAATACCATGGCATTAACTCTTTTTAAAATAATAAAATGACATTATTTTAAATTAATCATTAATCTAAATCTTAAACCAAATCATGAGTTGAGTTTGATTTAGATAGTGTTTGATATTATAATAAAAATTATTTTTCAGTTAAAAATATATTAAAATAATACTTTTTTAAAAAAATATTATTATTATCAACATATTAAAATAAACTAAAACATCAAAGAAAAATCTTAATATATATATAAAATAAAAATAAAAAACATGGCTGAGGCACTCAAACAAGCAATGCCTTGATAACTTTGATATATGGGATTAGAATGTTTTGAAAATGAATGTGAAAGTATAAAAAAATGTAATGGATATAAAGGTCAAAGTGTTGTTTATACTATGTGAACGGAAGAGAAGTGTGAGAATATAGAAAGTGCAATGGATATATGTTCAAAGGAGTCAACTATATATCTGTAATTGAGATCCATAAACCTTTTTTTGTGTTAATTTATCATGTATTATTTATTTTAATTTTATTTTTTTATTAATTTTTTTATTTTTAATTTCATCTTGCAGTTAAAATTTATAGTTTTTTTTAATTTATTTTGCAATTTATCATGTATTATTTATTTTAATTTGATTTTTTTATTAATTTTTTTATTTTTAATTTCATCTTGCAGTTAAAATTTATAGTTTTTTAAATTTATTTTGCCCTCATTCTTTCAAATATAGACTTTCTTTTTTAAATTGTTTTATGTGTATTTAATTTTGTAAGATATTATTGTGATTCATTTATATATATATATATATATATATATATTTATATATAGATAAATTTTATTTATAAAAATTAAAAATAGTTATTTTTAGATGATATTTCTAATACCTTGCATAATATTTTTTTATTCAATTTAATATCTTGTGTGTCCATTTTAATATTTTTTATTGATTTCAATAAACAAATTCAGTAAATACAACTAGTTAAATATTTTATATCACATGATTAAATATCTTAATTTACATTTATCTTTTAATTTATTTAATTATTTTAGTTATCATCAATGACTTATTTATTTATTTAAATATTTATTAATTATTTAATTAAATACTATCATAAACTTTTTAATTCATACTTTGAATTTTTATATAAACAAATTCACCAACATTGTTTGTATATCTAAATTTTTGTTTTTTTTCAAAAACAACCCATGACGGTAAGCGGGTCAAGTAAATAGTATTTAATAGATTGTGTGAAAAGAAAATATTTCAAAATATTTCTCATTTACTCAAGCACTGGAGTGGTCGGTTCCGTAATTACGAGGTCCGTCTTCCATGAAACCTAACGAGGGAACTTCATAGTTCACCCCTCATTAATTTAAAGGATTGGATAGTTAAAGTTATTAAGAGAAAAATAGAACTATTTTCCTCTTATTTAATTTTCATCAATTCTGTTCATCAAGAAAAGTGGTAATTTATAAATATTTTATAATTCCGTCCATCCAACACTGTCGACTTTGTTCTGGAAAGGGGCAGCGTTTACAATTTTCTAAATTTAAAGGTTTTATAAACAAAAAATTAATTTAAATTAACTAAATATTTTTCTCAACTACTAAATTAAATTGAGACAACGACACTATTACTACAATATATACTTTATTACCTCAACAATAAATGATTTTGCCTAAAACACTAAAAGCAACAGATAACTAACAATTTGGCTAGTTTTTTTTTTCAATTTAAGGGTATACTATAGTATATGATAATAATAAAATAATTATTAGACCATGGTTTATTTCTTTGGTTTTTCCTCCTTCTAGAGTAAAAAAACGTATGGTAGCTAGGGATACTTCGACTCCATTTGAAAATATGGTATAAATTATATATTTTTTAAATTTTATTTTTTTTAAAATAATTTTTTTATTTTTATATTATTTAAAAAAATATTATTAAAAATAATTTTTTTATATTTTCATATTATTTTGATATATTAATATTAAAAATAATTTTTTTAATATATTTTTAAATAAAAAAAATTTTAAACAACAACTAGCACAACCCTACCATTATCAATAACCAACAGAAGTAGCTCTGCACTGACTACTGTATGGTATCCTATGAAGGACAGCAACCAAGAAAAATAACTATGGAGAAGCAAGGCGTTTATGGGGAAGATATGATCAGGGAGAGGCTCAAGTGACAAGGATGGATTAAATTAACGAATATTTTAAAAAAAATGAAAATTAAGAAGGGGATGGCCTCTGTTAATTTTTAAGGGCATAATACGAAAACATGCCCACATTTGAAGACCATAATGAATTTAACTTTTTTTCAGTGGGGGTGTTTAACAATAAGGTTGAACCTGTTTTTATCATAATTTGATTTTTTACTTTTTATTATTTTGATGTGCTAATATTAAAAATAAATTTTTAAAAATAAAAAAAATATTATTTTAAAAAATAATTTTTGTTATATTCTCAAATACTTCAATTTTTTATGCGGAGGCTAAACTGTATGTTTGTAAATTCTTTAAATTTATTTCCTTTAATTTTTTTTTGTTTTACTAGTATAAAAAATAACTTAAAAAATAATCCATGTCTCCTCAAAAGCTGCCCGTAGACGCTGACTCCAAGGTTCTACTAGTGCTTTTAATTATTGATAAATTTATTGATAAAATTACATTATTAAAAAATAAATTTTCTTAAAAATTACTCTTTAGTATTTTTTTGTTTTTATCTATATTTTCATAAAAGCTCAGTGGCATAAGAACTCGATTAGTTGTGAGGGAGAAGATGACTTTGATTTTTGGCAAGGTGCCCCTTTTATATAAGCTGGTGCGTGGAAGTATTATATATATAAGCAAAAAGAATAAAGCACAAATGCATAGGATAGGTAACATGCGATGTTCATCACACGTGGCCAAAAGGGACACAGCACAAGTAAATTGCATTTTAAAATCACAATCTAGAAGTTTACTCGTATAGTATATTTTCTCCATGTCTAGCATCACTTGTGCTGTACATGCAAAGCATAAATGCAAATTAATAAATTATATTGTGAATAAGAAGTGCGAAGTTGAGTCCATAGTTTTTAAACTTGGTCTCATAGTTAATTTAATATTTGAATGATCAGGTTATTCAGTCAATTTTTATTCTAGATCAATTTTGATTTTTTTATTAAATCACTTAAATATTTTTATTTTTTTAACTTAGGTCAATTCAAATATTAAAATATGATGTAAATCTAGTGTGTTTGGTTTTGAAACGCGATGATTTTTTTAAAAAATACAACATCCTTTAAACATAAATCATACCTTTAAAAATTAAAAAACATCTTTTTTATGTAAAAAAATATAAACTACCTCCCATCCAAACATATCTTTAACATAAAGATTCCCCGTGACCATGAAAAAAAAAATTCAATAACTTTTTATGGCAACATGGGTACAGCTAATAATTTAAACTCTCAAAGTGGTCACATGTGGTGGTGCAAATATACCTACAAGTAAAGATTGGATGGAATATTTGGAAGAGATCAAGTATAAAATCTTTCTCAGCAATAGAATATTCGGGGGAAATTTAAGCACCCTTTTCGTAACCAATGATCAAAGAACTGGAAAACACTTTATTAAATCAATACAACCTGCAGGTAGATCTGCACAAACCATGCCTAATATTGCCGAGTTTTCTAGGTCACACAAATGAACTCTGAAGTCACGAGGAACATAAAGCCTCTTTAAATTGCTCGTGATCAGACCATCTTGTCAGTAAAAACAATTATTTATTTAATGTGAGTTGTTTTTATATTTTAAAAATATTTATAAAATTTTTTAATTTTTAATTTTTAATTAATATTTTTAGATATTTCTAAATAAAAAATAATTAAAACCACATTTTTTCTTATTAAATTTTTTCTTTTCTAGGTTCACTTAGCACCTTGAGTATCTCTAGGGTATAAAAAAGAAAATCTCTTAGAATCTATTTGATAATACAATCTAATTTTTTTTAGTAAAATTATATTTAGAGACTTCTGCGTGATTTTTCATGTATTTTTTGATAATTTAAATATTTTTATTATCTAAAAAACAAAATAACTCAAGTAGAACAAACTTTGCAACTTAAATATATTTTGAGAAATATTGTCAAATACATTAATTCCAGCTGCATGACAAAATAGAACAGCAGAATCGCAACAAGGGAGAATAATAACCATGAGACAGGAACCAATGATATTGCGACGACGAGGACGCTCACAGGAACGCTGTCCACAAGATCTTGCAAAGAGTAATGGTGGTCGCAAAATGTTTTCTGTCGTTGGAAGTTGATAGCCTTGAAGAATGATGCTCGTGAAAGAATTGTTTTTTAATTTATTTTGTTAGATGGGAGTTTAATTATTCGATGATACAATTTGAATTTATAATTATATATTATTTAAAAAAAACTATATAAATTTAATAATTTAAACTTTTAAATAAATTCTTACTATATAATTTATATTATTATCATTAAATTAGAACGCGCTGAATCTGGAAGAACACCGATTACATTTTCACGTGTTGATGTGCAATTCTGCGGTCGGTCTCTGTTCTGCGCTGGCGGCAAGCCGGATGTGACTGGCTATTAATGG